CCATTTGGCTCAATATTTTTTTAAAATATTCCTTGTGAGTTTCCCCTTGACCTTTTGGGCATTGGATGTGTACTGTCTTAACTTCTAAACATCTAGGGATTACTGTGTGATCAGAGAATATAATATGAATGATTTTTATCCTTTGAAATGTGTTGAGGCTTATTTTATGTCCTAAAACATGGTGAATTCTGGTAAGTGTTCCATGTGACCTTGAAGACAGTGTGTTTTCTGTAGTTGGAGTAGTGTTTACTATATGTCAAGTATGTCAGTTTTATTTATTATTTTTGATAAGTTCGATATACTCGCTGATGTGTTTGTCTATTTGTTCTATCTACTGAGAGTGTGTGCATATCCTCCACGTTTTTCATTATTGTTGTTAGCAATTCTGTATTTTCAGACATCACAGTACATTGTTATATTTTTAATGCACAGTCAGTGCATTTTTACCCATTCTGATGTTCTTCATCGTCTTTCTGTATTCTGTGTTTCTTTCTGTAATCAATTCTTGACAAATTTTCTTTAGTTGTTTTGTTTGCTTTGGTACAGGTAACCATGCAGCACATTGTTTTTAATACATGTGACATCTTGAATCTCTTGGAGGACACTTAAACTTATTTTAAAGCTTTCTTCTCTTTCCTACCATAATTTGGTTATTTAGAAGTGTAATGTCAGGGTTGTTCTAATGAATCCTGCCAACTATGGTGTCTCAGTCATCTGGTGCTGCTCTAACAGGAATACCACAAGTGGATGGTTTTAACAAAGAGAAATTTATTCTCTCATAGTCCAGTAGGCTACAAGTCCAAATTCAGTGCATCAGCACCAGGGGAACGCTTTCTCCATCAGCTCTGGAGGAAGGTCCAAAGGATGCGCTCTGCTCCCGGCACTGCTTTCTTGGTAGTATGAGGTTCCCATGTGTGTCTGCTCGCTTCTCTCTTTTATATCTCAAAAGAGATTGCGTTAAGACACTAATCCTGTCAACCTCATCAGTATAACCTCATCACAGTGATAGAATTTATAACACATGAGGAGATCACGTATAATCTCATCATAGTGGTAGAGTTTACAACACACAAGGAAATCACATCAGATAACACAATTATACAATACTGGGAATCATGACCCAGCCAAGCTGCTACCCACATGTTTGGGGGGACACAGTTCAATCCATTACATACGGCAAATATAACAGATCAGTCCAGGGGGAACTAAGATCACTCACTCCTGATGCCTGATTATGTGGTGGATATTAAATCCCACTCCACATGCCAACTGCATCCTGTGGAAATTTCTGCTTCCCTTCTTCGTTCAGTTCAGACCCCAGTTAACTGACAAAGCCCTTCTCTCTCTCATCCCCTGCCACCTGGGGCCAGGTCAGTGAATAACAGCCACTAGCTCAGGAGTCCATGTGACTTCCTCCACTTCAGACTAGCCAACTCCCACTACTCGTTGTTGTTAGGTTACGTCGTCTAATTTTCGACTCATAGTGACCCCGTGTGACAGAGTAGAACTGCCTCATAGAGTTTTCTAGGCAGTGATCTTTATGGGTGCAGTGCTTTAGGTCCTGTAATTGACTGTAATGACTCACAGAGCTCACGGGAAACACTATACTTGAAATAACAGCTTGAATATAATAAAGGATACAAATTAAATAACATACAGGGCAAAGTCCAGGAGGGGTCACAGTGCGGAGCTTCCGTGTCCCATGTACCCCCTCCAGCAGATGTTCACTCATAAAATTTGAGCCTCAGGTCTCAGAGCTTTTATAAGCCTCACCACATGGCCATGATAAATTACATCATGCCTTATGAAATGGAGTCAGCTTCTCTGTCTTGGTCTGGTCATCCCCCATTTAGTAGCCTCTTGTGTAGTCTGCCTCTCAAGAACTCAGACCAAAAGATCAGATTGCTTTTTGCACCTCACAGGAAGTAAAGTAGATTATCTTTTTCTTTTTTGTGTCCTTTTTTTGTACCTTTCAATCATTTTCCTCATTTTTTCTTGGTTGAATTATGTGTATTTCTTTATATTTACAAATGAGGGCATAGATCAGAGATTATGAAAACAAATATCTTCTGAGGCTAAGCAAGTAGAGTAAAATACAAGAAAACGGGGTAAGAGTGACTTGGTGTTATTGTTATGCATACTCCTTCTACAGCAGCAGTAGATACTATCTGCTTACTTGGTCAGTCAGTGACATGGTAGTTCAGGCCCCATGTTTCAAGATCTTCTGACTTCCTCTGAGAAACTAGAAAATCACATGGATTTTGGCAAAAATTCCTGAAATTTATACCTCGACAGTAACTCATGCTTTGAAAAACACTGTATGAGTTAAAAAGTACATTAGTTTGCAGATAGGTCATAGCCAATTTGCCACCTGTGATAGTAGCTAAAGTGTAGTTCTCCAGCCCAAGTAGGAAGCCCTATTCCTTAAAATTGAATGCAGGAACTAGCTGTAAGAGCTCTCTATGAAAGTATAGGTACTCTGGGATGTCCTCTAGAGTACTCAAGTAGTTTACCGTGTGGTTATATGGCTTTTGTGTCATTCTTGGCAGTCATAAGTGATCTGGGACACTATCCTTTTTGAATCCTACTCCATTCAGTTCTGCCAGTATCCCACTAAAAAGTCCCACTTCAGAGAACTATGCTTGTAATGTTTCTCAGGGACAAATATGGAGGTGAGCAGTTCCCTCTACCCCCTGAACTTTTTTTTTTTAATCGTGGTAAAATACATATCACAAAAAAATTGCCAGTCTTGAGTGTACAATTCAGTGATGTTAATCATATTCACCATGCTGTGCAATCATCACTACCATCCATTCCCCCCCCCAAAAAAAATTAATCACCTCAAACAGAAACCCAGTATCCCTTAAGCAGTAACTCCCCATTCTCCCTTCCTCCATCCCCTGGTAACTACTGATAAATATTTGTCTCTGTGCATTTCCTGTTCTAGATATGTCATGTAAGTAGCATCATGCAGTATTTATCCTTTTGAATCTGATGTATTTCACTTAGCATAATGTTTTCAAGGGTTATACATATTTATAGCATGTATCAGGCTTTCTTTTTATGGCTGAATAATATTCCCTTGTATGTATATACCATGCTTTTGTTTGTCCATTAATCTATTCATGGACATTTGGTTGTTCTCACCTTTTGGCTATCGTAAATAATGCTGCAATGAATATTGGTGTACAAGTTCCGTTTGTGTCCCTGCTTTCAAGTCTGTTGGGTATATACCTAGGAGTAGAATTGCCGAGTCACATGATAATTCTATGTTTAACTTTTTGAGGAACCGCCAGACTTTTCCACAGTGGCTGTACCGTTGTCAACATTCCATCAACAATGCAAGAGAGTTCCAATTTATCCACATTCTCTCCAGTGTTTTCCATTTTTCCAATAATAGCCATCCTAGTGGATGTGAACTGGTATCTTGTGGTTTTGATGTGCATTTGCCTAATGGCTAGTGATATTGAGCATCTTTCATATACTTACTGGCCATTGTATATCCTCTTTGGAGAAATGTCTATTTATGTCCTTTGCCCATTTTTAAATTAGGTTTATTTGTCTTTGTTGTTGAGTTTTGGAGGTCAGCAGCTTTGAGAGCAAGATACTGTGGAATTTGTAATGTGACCTTTTAATAGTCCATTCACTTGTGGCTGTTTTTTCCTGCCATTGGGTTCTAGAAAATTCACATCTTCAAAATGCCCCGTTTCATCAGTTCTTTTAGGTTTTGATGTCAGCCTTTTCCCTTCTGCTGTTTATCATCCAGAAGTTTCCTATTAAATTTAGTTTCCTATTTCTTCCGCCATATCAGTGCAATTTTAGGTGGAAGTGGGGGAAGAAAAGCTGTGTATATATGTATATGTGTATGTACATGCAGATATTTCCTAGCTCTCGTTCTGGAAGTCAGCTCAATTTCCTAAACTTCAAAAGTTATTTTTTAAGTGATAAGCAAATGTTGCTGTATTTCGCGTTTATTGTAGTCATTCCCGAGAATAATGAAAGGAGATACATTCTTTAAGTTTTGTTTTTGTTCGTTTATAGAAAAAGATGCTAAAAATGAAAGCTTTGACCTCAGCCGAGATATTTAACACACCATTCTGCATTCTGGATCAATTTTATTTACTTATTTTTTTTTTTAATGTATTTTCTGGTTCATTAATTTTCTCTTCAGCAATGTCTAATCTTTTCTTAAACATATCCATTCAGTTTCTAATTTATTTTTCCATTTTAGAATTACTTTTTGTTATTTTTAAATCTTCTATGTATTTTTTTACAGTTTCTATTTTAAGAATTTCAAGTTTGTCTTCTTTGTGTTGGAACATAGCAAGCATATTCATTTTAAAGTCTGTGTCAGATAATTCCAAGATATGAAATCTTTGAGGGCCTGTTTCTGGTTTGTTTGTTTGGGGTTTTTCCTTTCTTTCTAATTATTCCTTATGGTGTCTTACTTCCTTTTGTGTATGGTTATCTTTTATTGTGTGCTGATCATTATATTTGGAAAAAATATATGTATGGCCAGTTGGAGGCTTCTCTTTAGAGGTGCTTTTAGCCTTTTTTTCTTTGAGATATCTGGAGAGCCTACCAGTCCAGAATCACCATAATCCAAATCCAAGGCTTTAAATTTTCTCCACTCCCTCGTTAGTACATGTACTAGATGACAGGAAGCTGGGCTGCAGGTCTATACCTGAGTTTGTATAACCCTTTGGATGCCAGCTTAAAGTTGTGGTTGAGGGGGCGGCTAGCCAATCAACAACTTATTTTTGCTATAAAATGTTTTTGTGACAAAAACAACTTTGAGTGCTCGGCTTACATCTTTGGGTTCTTGCCTTATTTTAGGGTTTTGCCTTTTGAGCTTTTAATACTTTTTAAATTTTTTTCATATTTTTAAACTTTACCTTACAAGGTTGATTTTATTTACCTAACCTGTCATTAATAGGGGCATAAATCTTTTCCTTTAGTTTTCATTTGAATTTTTCTTGATGTTTGTTTGCTTTTTGTAGGTTCTACATGAAACATTTCCTCAACACACATTCCTCATGAATGGTCTCATTCAAGGTGTAAAGGTAAGAACAATTTTTATGTGGTTCACAATGAACCAAAAACAAGGATTGGTTTGTAGTTTAACTCTGAAGGTTTAAGCAGGACTTAGGGAAATGATCACTATTGTGCTAGAGACCTAAGTCTGCATTCTTAGCTGAGTTACCAAAATCAAAATAAAACAGCACAAATCCATAAAGCATAGAATAGTTTACTGGTAAAAGCACTGTGAATATAGGACATACTGCATTTTTATTAACATGTATATAGTAGTTTATAAAGATTTTAATTACTATGTGAACTTTTAACTATCAACTGAATAAGGTAGGCAAGTGCTGCTGACTTCTTTTTAGATAGAGACTTTGAGATTGAGGAAGAAAAGAAGCAGCAGGATTTAGTTGGATGTATAGTCTTGGCAAGTCTGGTGTTCTAGTCACAACTTGCTGAGTCTTCAACCACTTGACTTAATTAGTCTTAATTCATTACTTAAGTTTTAATGCAACATTAAAAAAGCTTATATATAAGGGATGAAAATATAATGGTATGTTCCAATCCCACTTTATAGTAATATATATGGATATAGGGTCTGATTTCCCAGTTTAGATAATGTCAGTCTGTGCATAATTTTACTTTGTGCTTAACACATTTAAATGGACTTTTGGGTTATTTCTACTTGTCAGCTGCTATGAACAGTGCTGCTGTGAACATTTGTGTACAAGTTTCTGTGTAGATACTTGTTTTCACTTCTCTTGAGTATATTTGCTGGGTCATATGGTAACTTTAAGGAGCCCTGGTGGCACGTTGGTTAAGTGCTCGGCTGCCAACTGAAAGATTCGAACCCACCGAGCCACTCCACAAGAGAAAGACCTAGCAATTTGCTTCTGTAAGGATTACTGCCTAAAAAACCATAGGGCAGTTCTGCTCTGTCACATGGGATCACTGTGAGTAGGAATTGACTCCAGGGCACCTAACAATAGCAACAAGTTGGTAACTCTGTATCGAACATCCCAATACCCTATCTCTGCTTTGTTTTTCTCCAAAGGATTTATCACCATCTAACCTCATTGACAAAGATCCCTAGGTGGTGCAAACGATTTGCATGCGACTGCTAACCTAAAGGTTGGCAGTTTGAACTCACCCAGCAGTACTACAGAAGAAAAGACTTGGCGATCTGATTCCATTAACCGAGAAAAGCCTATGGAACAGTTCTACTCTGTAACACATGCGGTTGCCTTGAGTCAGAATCAGCTTGATAGCAACTAACAACAACAACATACCTCCTTGACATACTGTATATTTTGCTTTATCTTTATCTTGTTATTGTCTGTTCTTGCCCCTCCTTTTCTAGATTGGAAGTTTCTTGAAGGCAGGGATTTTTGTCTGCCTTGCCTACTGGCACCTAACACAGTTCCCAGCACATGATAGGCACTCAGTAAATAATTGTTGAATTAATATTTCTTTCCAGTGTTTTTCTATGCATTTTTGTATATTCAAGATCCTGCTTACAGGTAGCCTATAACTGTGTACCTGTTTTTTTCTTGTATCAACAATCTGTAAGTATATCGTAATAATTTTAATAATGACGTTAAAAACTATATAAAATACAGACAGCCTTCTCTTTGCACGGTTCCAATATGCATAAATTTCAGTTAGAACAGTTAAATAATACCAGTCCCCCAACAACATGGTTCAAATTTCAGTTACCATGGTATGGTAAATGTGAATAATTACATAGGTACAAACTATTGCTAGCTCTTCAGTCCACACATCATTACAAGAATATGAAATGCACATCATGATTAGTGACCAGTAACAGATAGCAAAGCATGTAGCTGCATTAAGCTTCTAGTCTCCCAGTGATAAGCTTACATGATACTTTACAAAAATGGATAATCAAAAGGGGGAGTTGACCAACAAGGATAAAAGTACAGCAAAGATAAAAAAGATGACACTGGGACTGAAATTCAGATCAAACATCAGTGGAGTTATAGAATAAATATCTGAACATGGAAATGTTGACAGTGTTGCCATTCAAGAGAGGAACTTAGTGAAGGGGAACTTAACAAATTAACCTAAGTAAGAAAAGTAGTTGTGATGAAAAGGATAAAGATGTCCCAGAAGAAACAAACTTCACATCAGAGGAACTCTCAGAGATATTTCACAACATTGAAAGTGCAAAGGAGAAAATTTTGGAAACTGGTTCAAAGTTAGAAAGAAGTATAACAGTTTGCCAAGGCATAGAAGAGATGCTAACTCCATATTCTAAATTATATGATGAAAAGGTGACCCCCATTGAAACTACTCTTGACAAGATATTACGAAGAAAACACTTTAATTCACAATGTTTTAATGTTATAAATGAGTGTACTAAATAAATGTTAGTTGTATTTTTTTTTCATTTCCCTAAACATTTATAAAGGAGTCTGGGTAGCACAACAGTTAAGTGCCCGGCTGCTAACCGAAAGGTTGACAGTTCGAACCCATCCAACAGTTCCACGGGAGAAAGATCCAACAACCTGTGTCCGTAAAGATTACAACTAGGAAAACCCTATGAAGCAGTTCTTCTCTATCATATGGGGTTATTATGAGTCAAAAACTGACTCGACAGCACCTAACAGCAACAACAAACATTTATAACTGACAGTAAGAGAGTTTTCAGAGTTTTGACAAAAATTTTTAAAGATCATGGAAAAATCATAATTTTTCCGTTTATTATTAAGCTCATTTTGCATAGTTTTCAGCTTGCACAGTCATTTTTACAGTACTGCACTACCATACAAAGCAGAAACTGCTTGTATTATTTGTAGTGTCTATATACAGTTCCATTGTTTGAATATACTATAATTTATTCATCCATTTTCCTATTTCGAGGATTTTCAGTTCAAACTCTTGGAGATAATTCTGTAATAAAAGGTTTATAATAAATCATTGCCTGCAATTTTTAAAAAAAAATTTTTTATTGTACTTTAGATGAAGGTTTACAGAACAAATAGTTTCTCATTAAACAGTCAGTACACATATTGTTTTATGACATTGGTTAACAACCCCACGACATGTCAACACTCTCCCTTCTCGACCTTGAGGACCTTTTTTTTGGGTGAAAATATACATAGCTAAAGTTACACCATTTCAAAAGTTTCTACATGTACAGTTCAGTGACATTGATTACCTTCTTCCAGTTGTGCTGCTATTCTCACTATCCTTTTCCAAATTATTCTATCACCATTATCTTCAACTTACTGCCCCCTAGGCTTCCCATCAGACCTTTTGAGTTGCCGTTGTCAGTTTGATCTCACATAGATAATTTTTTTTTTCCTTAGTTGAAGGTTTGCAGAACAAATAGTTTCTCATTAAACAGTTAGTACATGTATTGCCCTATGACAATGGTTAACAACCCCATGACATGTCAACACTGTCCCTTCTCAACCTTGGGTTTCCTATCACCAGCTTTCCTATCCCCTCCTGCCTTCTAGTCCTTGTCCCTGCACTGCTGTGCCTCATTAGTCCTGTTTTGTTTTATGAGGCTGTCCAATCCCCAGCTGAATGGTGAACTTCAGGAGGGGCTTCACCACTGAGCTAAAAGGGTGTCCGGGGGCCATACTCTCGGGGTTTGCCTGCAATTTTTTGTTTGTTTCCTAAAAATAGAGTTGTAAGGTGTAATTAGTGAATAAAAAGGCTTGAGCCTTTTTAAAGGTCTTGTACAGATAGTCACAGGAGAAAGATGTGGCAGTCTGCTTCTGTAAAGATTTATAGGCTTGGAAGCACTGTGGGGCAGTTCTACTCTGTGCAATAAGGTCAGAATCCACTCAATGGCAGTGGGTTTGGTTTTGTTGGTACATACAGTACCAAATTATCTTCTAGAACGATTGTGCCATTTTACATCCCGCCAGCAGTGTGTAAGTTCCTATCTCATCACACTCTGATACAAGTACTATTTTTTAGATCTTCACCAACTTAATAACTTAAAAATGGTGCCTCAGTGTTAATTTTATTTGTTTATCTTTGATTACAGATGAGGTTGGATATTTTTTCATATTTGCCTGCTACTTCTGTGAGTTATCTCTTAAATTCTTAGTTTATTTTTCTGAGGAGGATTGTTCAGTTATTTATTTTTAAGAAATGTATTCTGTGAGTATCCCCCCATATTTTAATGGTCATTAATTTACTATCTTTCTGTTAACAATTATAAACAAAATAATCTCATACCTGATTCCACTTCTGAGATTCCCAGACTCTTACTTGCCAATCATTTTTCTTTATCAGTTTTTCCTTTTATGACATTGAAACATATGGCAGATGTTGTTATGTGATTAGCAATAAGTCGTTTTTCCTACACTTTGTCAGAGGTGTAATACTAGCTGGATTAAAACGCCAAGTGTCATGATTTAGAATTGTGCCCCCAAAAATACGTGTCAACTTGGTTGTGCCATGATTCCCAGTATTGTGTGGTTGTCCTCCATTTTGTGATTGATGTAATTTTTCTGTGTATTGTAGACCCTAATCTCTGCCTGTAGTTAATGAGGCGAGATTGGGTTATGTTAAAGATTAGGTTATGTAAACGGAGTTGCCCTGGGGTGTGGCCTGCAACACCTTTTATCTTACAGGAGATATAAAAGAGAGAAGCAAGCAGAGAGATAGGGGGACCTCATACCACCAAGATAGTAGTGCCAGGAGAAGGGCATGTCCTTTGGACCACGGTCCCTGCCCTGAGAAGCTCCTAGTCCAGTGGAATATTGATGATAAGGACCTTCCTCCAGAACTGACAGAGAGAGAAAGCCTTCCCCTGGAGCTGATGCCCTGAATTTGGACTTCTAGCCTACTTGACTGTGAGAGGATAAAATTCTGTTTGTTGAAGCCAACCACTTGTATTTCGGTCATAGCGGCACTAGATAACTAAGACACCAAGTTTTGACATGGCAGATGAACTCCTGGGTGTGACTGCTGGGTGAGGTGAATAATCAGAGTGATTGTAATTCATTTTATTCATTAAGTCTTGCTGGTCTGACTGCCCGGTGTATACCTTGAA